ATAAATATATATATATAGGGTCCGCCATATACATTTGTTTTAACTAGGGCTTATTTCGTGAATGGTAACAGTTAGCTCATGCCTAATTTGAAAGATAATTATATTTATCCTTCCGCTAAACGAATATGGTTGTGTATACGCTTGTATTATGCTGGGAAATATTGCGACATTACGTTGAACATCATGGTAATGTTGCAGAATGTGTGTGAAAATTGCAAATGGATTTTGGAAGAAGAGAAGCACTGCCGCATGGAAACAAGCAAAATTGTCGCATTTGAAAAGCCGACACACCCAAAACGAGTCACTGCGGTTTTTGCCCAGAGCCACAAGGGGGCCATTTAAGTTATCAAAAAAAAAAAAGAGTAGGATATCGGCAAAATTTTGTTCCAACAGGATGGCGCTACGTGCCACACAGCCGAAGTTAAACTTTAAACTTAAGTTTCCGTCCTGATTTTGAAGATCGCATTATCAGCCGCAGAGCTGATGTCGGTTGACCACCTCGGAGCTGCGATTTGACATCGTTGGACTATTATTAATTGGGTGCCGTCAAAGATAAGTGTTACGTCGATAAAAAATGATTTGCCGAAACCTGTATTTTCGATTTGAAATTCTACCCCTCGTTGGACGGAATGAGAGGTTTGTATCGGATTTGTGTTGTTGCAGCTTGTATATGGCTACTCCAATTTCAACGCAAAACGTCATATAGCTAATAGTATGCTGGAATGGATTTCATTAATTTCGGCAGTGTTCAATATCTGTAGATTTCAACTGCTGCTGTAAAGTGATGAGCTCAGCTATATGCTTCATTGGGTTGTGTATTGTTGTGTTTAGTAAGGTGAACTTTCTGGTCGATAAGATTGTTTCCAGTGGATTTAGCGGAATTGTTAAAATACAATTTAGCCCAATATTTTAAGTTCCAGGAAAGTTCTAATTTTGTTTTGTTGTCTAGGATGAATGTCTCTAATTGGCAAGCTTCTGACATTTTTTGATGGAATTTTTTGCACCTAAATTTAATCGGTCTGCTTTACTAAATGTAGCTTGTTTATTGGAAACTATCAAGTTGCAGCGAATAGCGCGTTACGCCTTTTTTGTTCTCAAAGAGCATACATTTTCTCTTTGACAAAATTTTCTAATCATAACTTCATACATCGAACTTAATTTTCAGACTCTTAAAGCATTTCTATATTATTCAAAATTTTCCATTTTTGGAAAGAAAATGGGGAAAATGTTATCTGTTACACCAAAAATATTCAAAATTTTTGAAAATGACCGAAGAGGATATTAGGAATACCACTGCAGAATGGGCCCATATCCAATTTTTCTGCCCATAACTATTTCAACGTTTCCATGTGTAAACCCAAGAAACCTATAGTAACCTCAATAGCAAATTTCAGAAATTCAGCTCTATCCCAGCAACAAATTTAGTAACATTTATTATGCATATCCAAAACAATCCTCACCTCTCCATCCTAGACACCTTCCACAAGACCTGAGATCATAGAGTGTATAAAGAATTTATTGCGACATTGTTCCCTCTTTGAGTCGTAGGGCATACCTGATTGCGTGTTCCTCTACGTGAGAGAGAGGATTAGCGTGACTAAATTTTACCATATACGCATTTTGTAATAATTGCAAAGTTGTACAGATTGATTAAAATTGAAAAAAACAACCCTAAAGCTAAAGTATTGTAACTTCAAATGTGGGAATAACAAATGCAACAACTTGTTTGACACTTTACTCACAATATCTTAGTTTATGAAGAAATCGAGACATATAGATGGAACGGATAGAATAACTGTATCGAGTTCTTAATATGATTACGTTTTTTTTTTTTTCATTCCAAAACACAAACGTTATTCTCCCCAAAGGCTGTATATATGAATTTAAATTTTGAAAAAAATTGCACATTTTCAAAATTATTTTATTTATTATTCAAAATAATGCATACACTTACAAAAACTGTATATGTGTTACTATACAAGACTACTAAAAGAAAATATTGTATTCGGGTTTTTGCTATATCCTACTAATACTGCGTACTAAAGGCCTGCACAAGACGAATTGTATGAATTATGCTTTTTTTTCGACACACTGACTTTGTCTACTCAATCATGCGCTATGTATTTGATAAACAATGACAACCAACAACATCCCCCATTTTGATTCATGTGTGCCATTGTCTAAGGTTCGATCGTGGCATGGCTGACTCGAATATTTGCATGGTGTTCTCCATAAATGCAGGGTGTCAACGATGACATCGAACCGTGTCATCGTCAAATTGTGTGTCATTTGTATACGTGTGCTTAAATATTGAGAGCGTGTGTGTGTGTTACTTTCGTTTTTGTGTGTACTGTAATTTTTAAGTAACAAACACCGCGTAAATATAAAATTGAGTATAATAACAAAAAATGCATAGACATCAAGAAATTAATAGAAAAAATTAAATATATACTGAACAATCTCAATTTATTGGTGATTATCATAAAATGTTGGTCATAAAAAAGAGGTAAATATTGTTTGCCTATTTTCTATCTACATATAAAAAAATTTAAAATTAAAGAATATGCACAGAATTGAACAATGGAAAAGAAAAACTTTCAGGGGACTATTGTTTTGTAATAAGGATTAACATTTTAGATTGTTTCGTCAATAACCACGAAATGTGAAAATTTTGTGTGAGCCAATTAGAAGTGCCTTTAATATTTTAGTATTCGCCAAAAAATTCTTTATTACAAAAAATTTCTTTTTTCACATATCGGAAAATCAGGTAGCGATTGCGCTTTGCCTTCATCACGTGTGTGTCTTTTTCGTTGGCAATTGTTTCATAATTGTTGTTGTTTTTTTGATAGAACATTTTTGTATGACACACTATTCAACATTCCCTTTTATTGGTCATTACATGTTATGACGATGGGTTTGATTGTGACCGACATGACGAGACATCGAGCATTTGGTTGGATGTCACGTACTGTTATGCGTTTGATCAAACAGGGCACAACATGACGAGCGTTTTCTATCCATGGCATAAATAGAGAAAATTGTCACATTTGCAGCCCTTTACTGCGTACCCCGCGATTAGCAGAACCACATAGGCATAGGCAATGTCCCATTTTGTTCCAGATCATTGAATGTGTTAATAATGACTATCAAGCACAATGGTATCAATGCATTCTATAGGTAGCTGGGATGCAATAAGTTTTGAGAAAGAGAGAGAGAGAGTTATGAATGGATTAGAGTGTGACATTGTTAAAGAAAGTGAATGGCTTGGTTTATCAGCTTTGGAAATGTAAGTGAGAATCGTAGCTATTCCCATCGAAGCATATTGTAGCATAATAGCTTCTTGTCCAATTAATTTAAAGGGTTTGAAAATGTCTATGACCACCTTGATTTCGGGGATGCTTACAATTTGGACTTTGTGGAATCTGGCAGCGCCATTGACGGAAACTATATTGAAGGCAATCTTCGGTGATATGAAATGGTACACTCAGAAGATAGCTTCCAATCTATGGGACCAATGATCTCCTCCCTGAACCTATTTTGAAACGTCGCATCGTTGCCCCTGTTACATATTTTGAGATTATATTTTTGAATAAATTATTACTGTCCCGTTGAAAATGGTAGGCATCACAACCCTTACTACCCAGCTCAAGGATCAGCTTCCTTATTCCTTGTCCTGGCGGGTCGGGTTGTTCATACGGCATGTCGAGAAAGCCGTTATATCTCCTCCGCTGAAATTACTTAAGAAGATTAAGTTTAAGTTTTTCTTATCTCCATTGTAGGTGGCGTGATTGAAGCCCAGTCACCATATTTATATAAATATAGGGTTCTTAGACTAGTGCTACGTCTCTAGGGCTATGCTGTCGGCAGCAGCCGCTGGGGCCTGTCCTACTGGGACCACTTTGTCATAATTGGCTTGCTCACCGACGAGGCTGAAACCGCAAGTTGTGGCAAGGAAGTTTGAACTGCCGGCCTCATGGCCTCAGGATATTGTTCTTCAGTAGAACGACCTCTCTTCAACGTTGAGCGTGAAGCGGATTCGGCTTTCTTCGAATCCGCCTTTTGCCTTTTTTTTCCGGGAGCTTTTGACACAGCGGTGAAAGCACATGCTTTGCGGTTGCAGATGGTTCTACTCGAATTTTTGTATTAGCTTGAGGTTTAACATGATCAAATTCTTCGTGGTGGTGTCTTGACCAATAAACTTTTTACAGTATTTTACTTACTTCCCTATAAGCCCTCCTCGCTTTGGCCTCTATTCCCTCATTTGATCCATTTCTGTGTTAGATGGCATGACAAACTCGCGGAATCGTGAGTATTAGATGATACTGTCAGCATGCCTAATCCAATTCTTCAGTGGTATATGTGAATACTGCTAAATGTTGACTTCAACGTGCCAGAAATGCATTGTCTGCATTAGACTTACAAGGTAAGACATCGGAAGTTGTACCATTGTCCTATGAAATTACAATTATTCAAGATCATATTTTAGTGTTTGTTGGAAGTTTTCGATGGAAAAAGGTAAAAATTAACCTTTATTGATTTCAATCGAAAACAAAGTTCGCTCATTGGGCGCGAATAATTTCTTTTATGTGTAATCAGAAGTTATTACATATATTACCAATATTTTAACAGCTATTTTTAAACCATATATCCACCATTTTTGGTCAACATTGACGTAATTGTTATCGTTATGGAGGCAAAACTATTCGTTTCAAAAATAATGTGTGATGTAATATTTTAGTTCAAAGGCCACTAAATTAGGAAAATGGATGTGTAGTTCAGAGGATGTTTTCTCTAACTTGTTAACTAGGTGCAAAACATCCCGGATACATCACAGCTAACGGCCTCTAAAAAATAGTTGTCCATAAAGCTTTTTTTGTAATTTTTACTCACATTTTATTCAATTTTACTCAGCCTATCCGTGTGTGTCAAATTTCTCACCTACTCTACAAAATGCATTTGGAAACACTGATTCATATAATTTTTTTTCTTTTTTTTTTCAGAAATTTTGTAAAATCAATACGGAACAAGGCTAGCAACATGGCAAAGGGTTTGGCCCATCATATTGGATCAAGAAACGTTGAGAACAGTTTTAGTAAATTTGGTGAAATTTCGTAAGTACTTAAGATTTTATTTTAAATAATTATTAATTTGATAGATTTTTTCAGTCTCGATATTATACTCAGTACTCCTGTATTGGTTTTGCCTAGATCCTGTCAGAGCAATGAAGTTTTGGTGGCAAATTTAGGAAAATTTACCGTATGCAATAAACAAGAAAATTATGTTCAAACAAATCCCACAGAACACTCCAAAAGGATAACATATTTCATCGACGTGAGAAATATTAATTTATTTTCTTTGAACACCCAGAAAAGAAAAAAGAGCGCATTGCCAAAAGCAAATGAAATATATTCATGTCAAGAAGATGCAGTACCAATCCTTCATAATACAGCCCTACTGTTTCAATTTGTGTATGAATCTAAGTCTCTCTTACCACAGAATTCCATAGAAGATACGATTTTGGTAAGTCTTTTTAAGTTAATAGTTCAAATTAATTAATTTATTCCTTAAAAAATTATTTTAATATTATTGTAAATGTGAGATTTTTCGACCTTTTTTCAAATCCTTATTATAAAAAAAAAACTTTTTTACCTTTAGACCAGTTGTTAGTTTTATTTTAGTAGTGATTAAAAATAGAAACAAACAAAAAACTCTTATGACACCAAAATTGTTTACTTGTATACAATAAACAACAACTTAGCTTAAAACTATGATAGGATTCATATCATCGTCGGTAGATAATATTAGACTTGCTTCATGATTTATTATAACTAATCACTGTCGCACTATGTCGCGAGTTCATATTAACGGTGGCCTAAAATAGAAGATGATAAAATAGAAGGAAATATAAAAGTATATATTGGAGAGTTAGGTGCACGTTTTCGAATAGTCCTCATATTCGGTATATTGTTGATTTAAGTCACATTTTATTGTCTTTATTTATATATAAATAATATTAAAATGTTGATTTATTTATGTGTACAAGTTCATAATAATGCGACGTTATCAACATACTTAATTTTTGAAATTTTTTGAATTTCACGCAACAATATTTTGACATTACATTTCTTTAATTTATTATACATCGTAATATAAAGAAGTCCACAGGCCCACAACTATTATTATCTAGCTAGCTATTTGGTTGTTGTGTAGTGTGTGACAAGGACTGTTTTTTATTCTATAGGTTTACTTTTAGCTCTGTGGTCATATTTATGACAACTTGGCCTGGTTTTTAATTTTTTAACGTTGGAACTGTCGTCATTACATTTTATTTTATGTACCACATTAGATTTGTCATCTTGAGGTATTTCTGATTTTGTTCTGCTGATTCAATTATAATAGACATTGAAATTGTGTTTTATCCTGTTGACCTCTGGTACAGTGACAAAAAAAGCACAAGATTTTATTGCATAGCTTTAGTTTTATTCCAACTTATTATAAAAAATTGAATAAGTTAAAGACGAAAGAGACAAGACAATAGAGTTCATCGATTCATCTAAACTAGCAATATCAAAATATGGATATCATCTGTATGTAAAAAAAGACTGCACTTGCTATTAGCAACTGAGTGCACCATATCATTAATAAAAATAATACATAAAAAGGGACTCGAGATAGAATATCGCGGGACTTTACATTGGACACACAAATGTCGGAAGAAACTCCTAAATGAACAGTAAAACGAAGACCTGCCTTACATATATGAAGCCATTAAATAACATGCAGAATCCACAAGATTAACAAGATAACAACCCAAACTTAAATTTTAAACTTGTCAAGAGAATGGTTGATCGAATCAAAAGCCTTTGACAAGTCAAGGACTAACAATTGAATACATCCCCGATCATATCAGGAATTCCTACGGCAACGCCGCCGAAAACCAAACTGAGAACTCTAAAGAACCTACGATAATACGAGAAACTCAATAATTTCATCTTAAGTAATATCTTCAACAACCTTCGGCATAACACGTAGAATGCTGATGGAACACTGATTGGACTTATCAAATGACTCGCCCGTTTTTGGCACAGGCACTATACAAGCAACCTTCCACGCTCGCTGAAAAGTTGATGTCATAATAATATATTTGAAAGAATACTAAAAATGACAAAAGATATATGGGAAAATACGCTTACAAAATTTAACGGACACGCCATTATCTCCCATAGTTCCTGACTTGTTCAAAGCTCTTGCAATATCACAACAAAATGTGCAATAAAACCGAAAAACACCATCACCTTCATTAGCCTCATTATTACAATTGACCACGACCGAAAAACAATATTAAATAATGATTCGATTAATGATTATTATTCATACGACCAAAGAAATCATTATAGAACTTACGCCTCTCATTCCTAATCACAGCTTTACAACGATTCCTAAATACACAAACACATTTCCTATCATTACCACCACATCAGTTTCTAACTACGCATAATTTCTTGGATCTTGGAGCAGAAACAAAGGACAACAGCGTGTTAAAGAATCAATCACGTCGTGTAGTTGAAGATCCATATCAGAAGTGGGTTTTAGAGGATTTAAATTGAAATCTCGAAAAAAATATATATTATAAAAGCGTAATCAATCTCTCTTCAAGAAATACACTCAGATCAACAAACCAACAAATAAAGACACTAAATGATATAACTGGACATCAGTCCTGCAGCGGGAAACCTAAATACAACTCCGAGGACGGCATTCATTTTATAGTATCCAGTACGAACTCTAAATACCAAATTTGAAACAATTACGGTGAATAATGTTGCTAAAATTATTAAAATACCGAATATAGGGAGGTACAGTTATATGGGGGTTATACGAAGAAGTGGACCTTGCACAGAAAATTTTCTGTCCTACGCTGTAGTATCACTTTGGAACTTCAAATACCAAATTTGAAACGATTCCGGTGAATTATGTCGCTAAAGTCATCAAATAACACCAAATTGGAAACAATTCCGATGAATAATGTCGCTTAAATCATCAAAGTACCGAATATAGGGAGGTACCGTTATATAGAGGCTATACGAACACGTGGACCTGCACAGACAATTTTCTGTCTTAGGCCGTATATCCATTACGAACTTCAAATATCCCAATTCCGGTAAATAATGTCGCTTAAATCACCAAGATACCGAAGAAAGGGAGGTACAAATAATAGGGGCTATACGAAGATTTGGACCTACATGACATATTTTCAATACCAAAAGTCCTGCAGACATAATGCACATTCGATTAAAATTTTATTAACCTACTTCATTTTGTTCGGAAGCTAGAGTGATTTCCACAGACGGACGGACATCGCTAAATCGACGTAGAATTTTATGCTGATCAAGCATATATATGCTTTGTAGGGTCTAAAATATATATTTCGAGGTGTTACAAACGGAATGACAAACTTAATATTCCTTCTATACTATGTTGGAGAGTATAAAAATTATAAATACATTGGCAGCAACACACGTAGCACCATCTGACTGCTAAGGATAGGTTCGAGCAATTTTAAAGGCCCTTGTAGCTCAAATGGGGAAAAGGGAATTTCTTGTGTGGAGGGAATAAAATTTCACAAATACCGCTCTACGCTTAGATATGTAACAGCAGTGTTGCATGTCACCAAGAGATGGGAGCTACCCACATTAATCACCTTAAAAGTATCGAATCTATTAAACCTGCATTTAAGCGCGTTGTTTATATACCATAGCTCACAAATTTTACCAGCAAGCTTCTTCTCAGCCGCCAAAGCCGTGCGGCAGAGATTGCTATCTTTAGCTCAACTACAGATTTTTTAAATTCAACCACATCACGCCTTCCTTCAGATATTTGAGCACTGAAATCAAACAGAGCATCAGTTTTGCCTCTGAACTTAGGCAGACATCTAGCCATATACATTGTTGCGGGCCTTGTAAACGCAAAATCCTAAGTCGATGGCTAAAAAAAATTTTGCGTGGAAGTGCTTTAGGAAGTGGCCTTTTCGCCTACATGGTGGCCACAAACCATGAAATACCACTAGCTCCCAGTATGTGCTAGAGTTGGGGAAGCCAGTGGTAGCTACAGTGAACACTCCCGGATGGGCAGGCCACTGTAATGCATCTCGTGACCTGCCGTGTTCACTATTTTTTTTTTTTTGTGGATGGAGTAAATAATGGAGACACCTAGGCACTGAAAGGGGGGTAGACATAGTATCAAGTATGTCGTTTGTTTTTTTTTTTTTGGCGCATTAGTTCGTTGTGGTGTAAGAAATGGTGGGGGACTGGATTGTCATGCCATTAATCCGTGGTCCACACTGATCAAAAACCCCACATGTGAAATGCTGGAAACAACATTCTCCACCATTGGAAGGCCAAATAACCGCTGGGGAATACTTGCCTCTATTGAAAGAGTTTGAAGTTCCCTGCATCTCATCATGGGGGCTATACCTGCAACAAAAAGCTGAAAAGAAAGAAAAAAAGTATTACAGTATTTTTTGCTTACCTGCACAATCAAAAATTGCACGACATCTTGTGCAGCAATGCCCACAATGCAGGTAGCTTTATTGCATTTATCTGCACAATGAAGCAGGTATCTTTAATTTTACTTACGTGCACAAAAAGTGCAGTTATCTTTAATTTTCTATTCGTGCACAACAAAGCAGCAGCATAACCATCTTTTAGTGTGGGAGAGGAAGCGAGAATATGTTTTTAATGCATGCTCTTTTCTTGTGTTGTTATTGTTTTTGCGAATACAAAAACAAAAACGAAGTGGTAGTTTTTAGTGTCTTTTTTGAGTTTGCAAAAAATTTTCTTGTGCAGATAAATACAACTTTTGTAACCAAATTAAAAAAAAATTACCACATTTTTGAGGCAGGAATGTCCAATGTGCAGCTATCGATTGGGTACTTAAATACAATTCAAATAAAGGGATTCAAAAAAAAAATGGCATAAAAAAAGTTTTTTGGTCTGCAAAGGCCAATGCGCAGCTAATGTTGATGCAGGTAAATAGAAACCACTGTAATAAAAAATGTTTAACTAGATGAAAACTGGAACGATACCGCTTGGTGTTGGCTGTTGGTGTTTTGCGTGATTTTGACATCTTCGTCATTTTGACAATTGGATCATATGGTGAATCTAAGACTCCAAATTTTAGGAAGTGTTCGGATAACCAAAAGATACGTTTCGGAAAAAACAGGGCGTGAAAACATTTAATGATACGGTATTATCGGCAAAAGGGGTTGTATTTAAGAGTGAAAGTTACTCTTAAAAGGTTGGGAGAAAATGGGATTTCAGAATGTTGCAAAGGGTTTGTTGCAGATAAATCTAGAGGGGGACGACTTGTGTTAGGAAAAAAGGGACAAATCTTGAGGGCTAGGAAAATGGCTAGTAATGGAAAGGACACTTTTTTTTTCCAACCTATAAAAGGTAGTACTGATGTGACAAAAGATTAGTTATTTAGTGGTGTTGAGCTAATAAGACTTTTAATGCGCATAA